ACTATTGCTTAGCATTGCCTCATCTTTGATATCCCAAAACAGGAAATTTGTCTGGGAACTCGTTCGCTTGCGATTGCACTAGGGATCCATTTCCTGATTCCTTGACTGATGCATTATTATTAGGAGATAGCGCATACGACTTTCCCCAGGTATTCCTTGATACATTACCTGATACATTAAATTGCCTTGAACGACGAGTTTCTTGATATATTGACTTTACGGGTAGCCTAGCTGGCACCATACGAATCTCCCTACAATTTTACTGACTATTTAGCTAGGATTCCGTCAGTAAAATCTTTCAACTGATGATTAAATAGAGGCCTCGACGTGTTATGCATCAATCAGTGTATTTAACGGATTATTTATCTATGGGCAATGCATCAAATGATGCATTTTCTGTCGTGGTAGAGAGTGCGTCATATGCAAAGCCTAAAAACTCTATAGTTATCTGGCCTTGGTTGACGAGTTTGAGTAGCCCGCATACCGATCCGAGGAGAATTGAAAATGAAATACAATATCTTTGATATCAATCCAAGGCGCTTGTAGCAGTGGCTGAGAACACAGATTCGTTTCTGGACGGACGGTTGTACAGATTGATACTACAAGCTACCTCAAGCCTGAAGCGTTGTGATTTGTTCGGCGGTGCGTGCCGCGTGGCTGCTGAATCAAAGCCGATGGTTAGCGATGGAGGGAGTGGAGTTTTTGTGAAATACAACAGTCCAACCATATCGTGAGAAGCTTGAAACCAGAGAATCTCTGCCAAGTCAGATTTGGGTACTTAATCAGAACACATCCCAGGGCGAAGCTCGAGCGCAAATGGATAGGTGTTATTTGGAGGAGTGTTAAACCTACACATATATCGTCGATCAGCGCATTGACTTGCAAAGAAGGTTAGAGATTCCGAACACAATCCCAATAAAAGGGCCAGTTCGTATGAACTGATGAACTTAATAGTTATGTTAGAGGCGGAGAATGTAGACCCAGGAACACAGTAGGTGTTGTTAGTGTCGTTTTAGAACATGGACAATACATCGCTCCTTTAAGTTAGCACTATTCTGTCCGAGTGGTAAGAGCGTCCTATCCACCAGCAAGTCTGATTCGGGCGCCCTATCCACCAGGTACCTGTTTCATCGGATTGCACTCAAAAGTTCGCCCCGTTCATCAGAGGATTCGGATCCCATCCACCAGTGAACCACAACGCACGCAAGGGTGTCTCTGTGGCAACGGCGGCAGCGCCCCAGTGCTCGGAACGGGGCAGTCAGTTTGTTCGATAGCAGTACTTGACTGAACGGACGGCGTGAACGGTCCTCAAGGCCTGAATCAGGACGGAGTACGCCACTGAGACAAGGGGCCAAAGACCGCCGTCATGACCGCCGTGGTTTTGGCATTACTGTTTAGGAGCAGAGTTCTGCCCAGGTTCCAGATACAGACATAGATAAGGACCTGGGAAAATATAATTCCGAGCCATATATGGAGATCTAAGATAACCCGGTAGTTATCTACCGTGCTCGGCCATCCCGTACCGTACACCGCAGTCTGCTGCAGTTCCATACAATCAGCAGCAGTCAAGACCAGTCAATGACAGTCACCGCGCCAAGCTATCCAGTTCCAGGATGCCGCGTTCCCAAACCATCATTTCCGGTCCTCCATTCCCTAACCCAAATCAGAGGCCGGGACCGTAGGGAGCACTTAAATCTTATTATTATTTTTAATCAGGTCCACGGCAGATGTCATATTAGGCCAGCGCTGGCAAGGCCATGGAGATATAAAGAAATACTGTATTCTCTACAAACATTCATAATGAATTAAACAAAAAAAAAACATACAAACATTCATACAATGTCTTTTGGAATCTCTCCGCATGCATAGATTTTGCCTGGGCTGAGGTTAGTGCATTGTCAATCTTAGTGTGCGCAGCTGGGAGAGGGCGTACTCACTAGCTTATGGGTGGAGTGTCACCTTATGAGTCGGGTGCTATTTGGGCTCTATCCGATATAATAGTCTCCTTGGCGATAGGGCGCCCAATTCGTATGTTCTGCTGGATAGGATGACTTACGGATCTGACAGAACAGAACTCAATCAAGTATGATATATCGTATTTGTCACCATTTTACTTCTCACCCACGGTATATAGTCTTGTGAGACTCGGTATGAGATGCTAGTCGTCTCTGTTGATCTGCATTCAAATACAATGCTACAAACAGCTAGTAATCCAGATATGTTCACCCCGGCTCCGCAGGGGAGCATACCACCAGTCTTGAGGGCCTCATCTTGACATATACAAATCCCTAACAGAGATTACATGGTTCTATGGATCGAAGACTGCGCTCGAACTCAAGTGAGGGATGTTGGAGATATGATAGTATGCCTCGGATCGATGGGCCAAACCACTCACCACAACATGGACCGGAAAATACTGCAATGGCTCTGACTTTTTCAACCCTGAACGGGGCGTCCATCAGCAAGCCTATCAACAAAGACGAATAAAGTCTCATGTTTTTGAGCAGCAGGAGGAAGCAAGTGAATTGAAATCCCTTTTGTGGCAGTTCTAAGTTTAGATTATCCAATTTACCCGGCTGCTTTCGCGGAGAAGATGACTAAGGCCAATGGAAATGGAGATCGGAGCATTAGCGACTTTTTACTTGTATCTTTTTCTCGTTTAAGGTTGCATCAACTCACCAGGCCGAGTAGGAGGTATGGTTTCGTCACTGTTTCTTATTTTCTTGCTTTAACTCTTGGTAAGTGCGACGAATTACAGCTTCTACCATTCGTACACTTGATTAAGCCACTAATCACCCCCCCACAGTGCCGTCATAACCGCCGGTATGGCAAGCGTTCGCCACCCATCCTTCTTACATAAATAATGAGTGGTATTTATTGATGGGATTATGTTGCCGTCTAGCTATGATGTATGTGGAGAAAAACCTTAGTACGCCGCGATGTAATAAAGCGGAAAGCCTGATAGCAGAGAAGTGCCTGATGGGTAGATATATCGATCGGCCTCTGCTGTGCGCAACATCGGGGTCGGGACTGCCGGCTGAGGCACCCCGAGAGTTACAATCCGGTGGTATATATGTGAGGGGGGGTATTACCGAGAAGAGAGGAGAGAGGCCAGTGGATAGAATGCGCTTTGGAACAAAATCGGGTGGCGAGTGTGGAAAAATCGCGGATGAAATGAATCTGCGAACAGCTGCACCCTAAGGGGAACAGACGAGCGGTCTGATCCCCACACGATTCTGTAGTTCTGTCAGCGTTGAGCGTCTGGGCAACTGCGAGCAGAATAGCAATATTGAAAATAGGATATTCATCTGTGGAATTATGCGTTCCCCCCCGCCCGAGAACAGAACTCCGGGAAGGCACCTTGCTGCCATCCACGACTGTTCCTAGCCTATTTGTAGTGCCTTTGGTCCATAAGATCAGATAGGTGGGTGTTAGAAAAAACTTCCAAAATTTAGAAAGACCCTTCTTTGTTGCTCAAACCACGAATACCCGATTTTCGGTACCAATTGTAAAGCTTTGGTGAGAAAGTTCGTTCTTGGGTTGACTAGGAGAAGGGTAAAGGAATATCGATCGGAGACCATGTTTTCAAACGATCTAATGGTACAAAGACGTGCGCAGGTTTACGTGGTGTCCTTGGGTTCGAATCCTGTCCTCTTCGCTGTTGGTGTGTGTCACGGTATACGAGGGAAATCTCGGCACCAAGTTTTTTAACACGATTATGTACTTATTTCAACTCACCTTGTCAACATTGGCTACTGTAGGCGTGTAGCACTTTAACTTGTGGTTAACCTGTGGTTTCAAATTTGAACCCTTAACCTAATCTAAGCAGCAATATGAACCCATATTGTAACAAAGTAGCCACTATGGCATTCCAACCACTAGTGCAACATCCCGCGGGACAGGTGAAAATTAGAACTGAAAAAAAAACTTAGCCACGACTCAACCCAGTTTACATACACATCCGTATAATCGTTATAGGCACGCAGTAAATACTCGTCACCGCGTTGATACCGGTCTGTGCGATTGAATGCATCCCTCACCGTGTTCGAATTTCGCGCAATTGATCGCATATGCGTGAGTGCCGGGAATGGGACCCCTTCTTCCGTTCACATTTAATCATCTTTACCCTAGGCTAGGGAATCGGACCTTAAGTTGAAACTCTATCTGTCTTCATTCAAGCGCTGTCGCGGCCCTTCAGGTGAATGGGACTTGGACGTCAATCGCTATCTGCGCATGAAAACTGCGCACTCTTACTCTTGCTAGAGGATGAATTTTGATTGTAGAAGTTTCAAGTAAATGTGCTACGTAAGGATACGGGGTGTGTAGAGGGCTTTCTAGGGGTCCAGCAGTGCGCTCACACCGAATTCTCATGATCATTTGGGGCCAGCTCGAACATTCTGGCCCACTGTAGGCCGCTGACATGGTTTCCGCCTTCTCCTGAAACATATATGGATGGGCAATTTTCTAAGGTCTCCCGGTGGCTAGGAGAGAGTTGAAATATTGATCGCAGATCTAGTCTGTTGAATGATGCAGAGTTTTAACGTTAAAAAGGGTCTAGCTCGTTCTGTGGGTAAAAATGATTTCCATCTTCGCGTACGTGGGTACTCACGGTGTATACTGTCCTAGGTCTCGAATAGCCTGAAGTGTCCTAGAGTATTATGTACGTGTCTTGCTCATTTTGGTATGCCACGACGTGAGGAGGCCCCGCTGGCAGTAGGCTTAGCCACTATACGTATATGGCACGCTGTTATCTGTCACTCCCATGCAATTCCCGCCACAATCTATGGTTATCAGGCCATGCAGAGTGGGTATCAGGCTTGGCAGAGATCAGCAAGCTGCCCGGGCATCGGCCAGATTGCTGTGGCGTTGGGGCTGCGCAAAATCCTCTCCCCGCGCTTATTTCTTCACCAACGTCTTGTAACTTCCAGGATTCATACACTCGTTCACCCCCCTTCCAGTCGTTTCCGAATAAAAGGGAGTTGTCCTCACAATACGACAAAATGCTAGACCAGAACGGCAACAAGCGTAGCCCAAGCCCTGCACTTGAGAAGGTACTAGCACAGTACTTCCCCCACATCATCGATGACTATACTGATCTCCAATCTCAGGCCAATGGTAGTAGGAGCCGTGTATGGGACGCCTCAGGACGAGGCTTTCCGGTTTCGTGTGTCCTTAATCAGCCCACGGACTACGGTCCCCCAACCATCCCAGAACTCGATACGACCTACTTCAGGTTCCTAGGTGTTGAAACAAACACCGACGTTTCCCTATTACGAGACTTGACATCCGAGGACTCAGACGACAGTGAGTATGGCCACGAGCAGGAATGTTCTCCTCAGGGTGGAGCCTGTGAAGCTGGCAGCCACAACCCTGGTCAAGAGGGACAATATGACTCTGCTAGGCCATCTCTCGCCACAGGTATGTGATCCACTGGTCGTTTCATGGCGTTCTGGAACTAACATACGCACAGCTAATGTTGCCCTGAACGCTCTGCAGCTGCACTCCCATGACCAGGCACAGTTTGGGATATCTTTGTATCTTCATATTCCACTAAATGTGACCATTAACATAGAACTAGATGCTGGTCGACAAGTAAAGAAGAGTCAGGCTAGCGACCACGCACATGTATCCAGCTCTGGTAAGCCAATCCTCCCGCTGATATCTTAATATTCATGACTATCTCCTAATATATGTTGCAGTCCATAATGATGGGTGCGTGTACCGTGATTCTGCCCAGATTAGCCTACGTCCAGGCCTTATTGGTATACTATCCTCTCTTTTTCCATTATCTTCCATTACTAATGATTCTGTGTGATCCACAGTTGGCCCTGAATTCAGTAGACCAGGTACTATTGGCCCTGACAGCCAGGTGCCGAGGCGTCAGAGCGGTACGCTGCACAGTTGGGCCAGAATGGTCCTCTCTATTGTTGTAAAAGTTCCTTGCTCACACATATATAGATCTGGATCAGCCCTTTGTACTCGGGCCCAACGCGGCCATGCTTGAAGAACACAGTGATGAGTCGACTGCTGCCCACACCGGTAATATACCCAATAGAACACTGCCCCTCCTCCGCAGTCTCTCCTGTCTTCCCACGCTAACATATGAGGTAGCTTACTACGGACACAACATCCCGACCCTAGAGGCTCGCTGCCCAGATGGCAGATTCCGTTGCCGGGTCTGCGTTTATACTAGCGGACGTCTTCAAGCCCTTCAGCGCCATATCGGTACCCGTACAGACAACGTCAGGTTCAGCTGCCCCCATTGCGGGAAACGCTTCGTCCGCCAGGACCTTATGCGTATCCATTCCAGAAAATGCAGCTCTAACGACACACGCATGGGGCCTCCCGACAATGCCCCTGGCCCGCGTCGTGGTCCCCGTGGGTCTGACGGCGACTCTGGTACTGGCGCCTCTATGAGTAAGACTGCTAAGGCTAAGGCTGCGAGACGGAGGCTTGAACGCAGTGGTGGGAAGCTTGGGGCAAAAAAGGGCTGCGAAGGCCTAATAAGTCCAGATTTGAGGGATCAGTAAGCTTTCCAAGTTTGGTTAGGGTTCCTCCATAAGGAGCATCTGATACACTATGTTCCCTCTGCGGCATTTCGATAGCATAAAAGTGATTTTCTAATAGGCTGGTTGAGCTGTTTGTTTCTAATGTCATAGTTTTTTTCAATTATGTTCCATTGCGTTATGTGATCGCAGAAGTGATTCAGGATCACCTTGTTTTGTTTATATTGGCTAACAGTTCTGATGCTTGAGGCTAGCAAGGAACGATGCTGACATGATATCCAGGGGTATTAACGAGGTCTCCTGTACTTGTTCTGAAGCCCCCCCTAGGAGAGTCGATACCTCACAGCTCAGCTCGGGGAGAACAAAGAGGTGGATAGTAGGGGTGGTCAGCGCATCTATCTGCTGATGTGAGAAGGTTTAGGATCCTGGGTGTTCAACAGAGAAGGAAAAGGAAACGAAGTCACATTACCGTCGCATGTTCTCCTCAGGTTGTTTGACTTCGATAGTGAGGATGAACAGGTCGTATCTGCGGTGTTGCATCTTGGGGATCTCTAGGAGCTACCACCTGCTATAATGTCAGGTATATGACCCCAGAAGCCTAGAGGAGTCAGTTTCGGCGTAGGCCTTTGACCTCCGGAGGTAGTGTTAGGCAGGAACAGCTGATATATCAGTGGGGCATCGATATTACGTTTTCGAGGCGTCTCTGGACAGATTGAGGTGAAATAAGATGGATTTTGACGATACGAGTCTATGGATCGAGCAGCTTGGTTAGTCGTGTGGGGATGGACATTACGGGCGCAGAAAGCTCCGATGATGCATCGACTACATTCCATGAATCATCATAGATTGGGAAGTCATGATAAGAACGAGGATGAAATTGGACGATCAAATGTCTATTAGATTCGGGAATCTGGAGGAAGAGGTTGTGGAAAAACGCCATTGTAAGATGTATATCGCCCTAGCCGCTAAGGACCAGGAAGAAACTGGGGCTTGCTCGCGTACCACGCCTGCACGCTACCTCTACAATCACTGACAGGGGTCATAAGAGGTCAGGGAATGATATCCCCTCCACATGGGGTCTCCCTGATAATGAAAAAGTCAATTTTATACGGGTATCATGGACCCTATGTGAAGGTTTGTGCGTGGTACTTTGTTTGAGGCTTTTAATAAGGTTAAACAAACTTCTATATTTTTATCACACTTCTAGTCCACCATAAGAGGAGGGAGAATGGACAGAATGTGGAAATATGTGGCCAAAAATGCGAAAAAAAAGCATGTCACGCATCACCTAACAGGTTACACTGCCAAGCCTAGCCTAACCATATAGCTCCCCCCAGAGTATGCTCGAAAACGTTGCCATCACTGGAAAAACACATGAAACATAGGCCAGGCTCTGGAGCCCCAATCAAACATATATGAAGAAGATTTATCGATCCTCCTACGTATCTCAGCATATCTCAAGAAGGTTGTTGTTCCACCAAGGTGGTGGTGCTAAGAACTATGTATCTGGGATGCTTCGGATTCGGCTGTTTGCACGTCAACGTCTTGGTTCTCGCCTTCATACAGAGCCACAGGCGATTCCCTAACCCAATGACTTCATCCCGTATCACCGTGGATATAGGTACAGTACGATGCCAGTCGTGAGCGTCAGGCGCGACCAGATTTCCACAACCTTTTCACGGCGGGTTGATACACAAGATATGAAATGTCAAATTATTGTTATTTATCTGCTATTTCACAACTATACAAAAATTCAGCTCTCCAAAAGATCAATTGTGGTTGCTGTGCTGGTACCCGTGATGGTTCGGGGGGCGTTGCGACGCCGCGCCTGACGCTCACGACTAGCATCGTACTTTACATATTAAAGGGAGTTTAATTAGTCTAAGAGCTCAATGATGATGGTAACCTGCAACTAGGACTGTGCAGTATGCTGCAGGATTTTCATTGCAACGTGTTTTTTCCGCTTTGATATATGTGGCCTCTTAGGCTGTCTGTAATTGCAGATAAAGCTTGATGTACGTTTTCCTTCCTCGGTGTCTTTACTGCGGCACTGCCATGGGACATATGTTGTCGGACGTGGCTCGTTTCCTAAAGCTAGACCTAGGAATGAAGACGTCTGACATCGAGAATTCTACCTACCCCATCCCGCATATCAATGAGGGTAAAATAGGCTAAACATGCATAGGATGTAGTTCGGTCTATCTTGGTTTACCCGGTTATCACACGCTATCATCGTCCATACAAAGCCATTAGATATCCCATATTAACGTGCCGCCGCTTTTGAAGGTCTATTTGTTGCAGTTCAGGCAACTTTAAAGGCATTACAATTGGCCAGTAGCCTCTGGACCGAGCACCGGGGGATAGCCAGGTGCGCAGATATATCTAAGACAAGACATACAGGAAGGGTGAACGCACCCAGCGTTTATAATATAGGCCTTCCGGCTCAGGAGCTGAGTTCATTGCCTGTCTAAGTCACTACCTTGGTCCAGTATTTCCAACGGTTCGCTGATTTCTCGGTCTTAGCCGGTTTTTCATAACCATTACTCAAATAGTTCAATTAAGCTTCAATTCTGCCTATCAAGTCTGTCAAGGTTAAAAATTGAGCTCGACCGGTATTCCATCGCGTGGAACTCTCAATAGAAATAACAAACACCCTGCAGTGTATAAACCCTAACCCTAAAACAATTAGTATGTATATAAAAGGTTTTTTTTTTGGGTTAAACTCATTATTAGGTACAGAGCTCTTGCTAGGTGCTATAAACCATCTTTCGTTCTCAGGTTCAAGGCACAACCATATTCACCTAGTTCAGCTCAGCTCAGTTAATTCAGCTTGATCAGGCGCAAGAGACGATTTGAATTAGGGAACAGACACCCATATATCCCGATCCCCAGTTCATACGACGGAAACCACCCAACAGCAGGAAACATTGGCAAAGCAAATATATTCTCTCTCAAACGCAAAATACATCTATATCCGCCAGCCCAGGCCGCTAAACAGACCTCACAGAAATTGTGTTAACCTTTCCGCAGGAATAACGGGACTGGGTGCATGTCTCTCCTCTTACTAACATATATTTTTAAAACGCCAACCTCTGAGAAAATCCCATCACTCGGGTTCCCTCTTAACACCAAGCCGCTTTGCCTCACGAGGGTATGGCAGTCTCACATGACTTCCGGTAGTACGGAACAATAATAACAACTAAGCATCATTATTATGGGTCAGCAGACTATACTTAGCGCACACCACACATAAGCTAGTCCCGTGGGGGAGATAAGAGGTGGTGATGAGTTCTAGCCTCTATTTGTGACAAAGTTGCTTTTAACTAAGCTAGCTTGGAGAAGATGGGGGGGTTCAAGAAGAAGGTGAGAATGACGAAGAAGGTAAAATTGACACAGGACTGGCGTTGGATACCGGGTTCATTATACAGTTAATGGGATATGACTAAAAATTATTTTATCCAGGAGGGATAGGGTATGATCAATGGGGGAAAAGCTGCCATCAAATTTGGGAGGTTAACTATGCATATACATGTTTTGAGAAGTGACCTGTCATGTTAGAGTGCCATATTCTAACTTTACCGCTTTTTAGTAGAGAGCACCAAGGGTACCTGCAATGCTCTTGTATTCCTTCGCTATCTGACTCAGAGAAAGAAAGACCGCGGTGGCGCCCAAAGCCCCACATTCTACAAGGCTTAAGAACGAACAAGAGCTACCCCCCGAGCCGACGTTGTATTACCCCGGCGTTAATGACACGTCGCCCACAAAGTCCTAACCACTTTCTTTTACTGTATGCTATGATATAACTACACCTTCCGCAATGAAATAATCTCGAAATATGCTAGGTAGCGAATTAGCATCAGCCGGTTTCATGATCCTAAACAAGGTGTTTAGAGGGGCGGGTATACACGAGCTATCACTCGCCTCCTGCCAAGAATTCACAGGAATGTTATGTCTCCATGGATTATCACTCGAGCTCCTTGCCAAGAAGGCCTGTGTAACGTTGGTGGCTGGTCGAGTGTTGTTTTCCCCGAGGAAGGAAGGGTTGTATCTCATATAAATGTCTAATACATTTCCGCGTATTTGAAGACAGCGATATTTAGAGAACCCATCACAACAGACATTTGGGGGGGTACAAGTAATGTAATATAGGATGCCAGTACCAGTGTTTCGAACGGTTCACCCGTTCTACCAAACAAACCGGTTTTGGTAAACCGGTTTAGTTAATATTTCGGTTCAGTTCTTGTCTTTGAGCTAATTCGGTTTGAACGGTTCATCACAATCAAAAACCGGTTCAGACCGGTTTACTAAACGGTTCTATCATGCAGGTACCCGTCACATAGAGGACGTATTTCCTGACCTTGACTGGTTTTGGGCGGGCTCAATTGCGCCTAATAAACCAAGAAACGGACTCTGAAAAAAGATCTAGTTTATGAACCTGCAAACCAAACAAAAGAACGGTTCTAGTTCTTAAACCAGTTAAGAGAACTACGATCCAGTTCAGTTTAGTTCAGTTCAGTTGGACATGTAATTCAGTTCAGTTCGGTATGGTATGACCTCTCAATACAACCGGGTTCAACCGTTGGAATCACTGCCCAGTCCGTCTCTTTGGGGAGAAAACGTGCCAATGCATCAAGCAGATCAGTATAGAAGCAGAAGGTTCTGGAATCTCTCGGCGTTGACATCTTGATACATGACTGCACAAAGACGCAGGGGAACAGCCACGAGCTTACTTAACAAGCAGGTTATATAGCCCATTCAGACAACTCGCCTTGTTTAAAAGCAGGTTCTGCTTGTACTATGTTAGATCGATATATCTGGCGGGAGGCTTATAGTCTCTAGCTACAGATATTCCAAAAGACCAGGGATACCATCGCTCGCTATCTACATGTCGCGAGCACATGATGGTAGAAATGTAGAAAAAGAACCGCACATTACAAACGCTCAAACCAATAAGGAACTTTCATTCATCTTTACTCTCACAAGGTAAACCTTTACAAGCCTACCACTGGCCACAAACAGCAAGAGCCCAGCTATTCTTTTACTCTTTTCAAACTATCTAACTGGCACCTCTCATCTCCTCCTCCATCGCATCCCTCAACCTTCTTGTCACCTGCTCCCTCACTGCAGCTATCCTACCCTCCTCCTCCTCTACCCTTCTTCTCTCCTCCGCTCTTTGTCTCTCTATCCTCTCATCCTCCTCCCTATCCTCCATCCTCGCCACTCTATTAAACTCCGCGATCTGCTCCGCGGTCATGCTCCTCGCATCCGGCCACACCCTAGTCGACACCCCCGCACTCCTAGGATCACGATTCCTAGTCTGCCTCGCCACACGACGCGGGCGGAACACTTCCCTACGGATCAAGGCTTCAGCGATTTCCTCATCCGTAGCCATCGGGAACCTGCTACGATAGTACTCCGCTGTCGGCCGGCCGCCCAGGAGGCCGAGGATGCCGAGGTCAGGCCCATCGCCCGCCTCGCTCTCAGCTGCTCTCTGCGACGGGCCTGAGGCTGTCGAGCTATCTGAATCATCCAACCTCTCCCTCCTCATGAATCCACTCCCAGGTGATGACTGTGCGCCCTGTGGTACTCCATCACCCCAGTAGGATGGCCCCGCATTCCTGAGTTCCTCAAAACGTCCCCTTGCCGCCTCCTGCCTCTCTCTGGACCTAGCAGCAGCAGCGGCGTCCTGGCTCGGGTTCCAGCCAACTGTAGATCCGGCTTCATCCCGAGCCCACGCGGGCCCGCCAGGGAGCATACTTGAAACCGCCTCCCGCGCCGCAAGAACAGAGGCTGTGAAGGATATGCCGCCGCCCTCGCTGCGCATGGAGCGCAGGAGTGTATTAAAGTGTGCCATGGCACGGCCCACGGCCTCGTCGTTGCTGGCGGTGAGCCCAGAGTCAGGGGTTGACTCGCGCACTTGTTGCTGGGTCGCCGCTTCATTGGCCAGGTATGTCCGATATTCTTCTAGGACGAGGTTATCAAGTGAGGTAGGTGGTGTATTATCGGGGGTGAGCTCCTCGGGCGGCGTTCTATTGGCGAGGAGTGTGAGAGTGATGGCCACGGTTCGGATTTCTGATATTCTGCACTGTAGGAGGGCGTAGGTGGGTGGGGTTGGGTAGTTGATAAGGCTGGTTAGGCGGTGGATGAGATCCTCGCGGATCTCGTTGCGTGTCCAGGGGCGAGAGGGCATGAGGTGGAGGATGGGTGTGATGGGGTTGGATTGGGTAGCTGACATGGAGTCAATTTGGTTGGAAGCGGCGGAGGGGGGGAGGGGGGTTGAGGGGGCTTGGGCGGGGAGAGAAGAGGGGCGAGGTGTTCCTCCTGCCCACTCCATGTTGTCCGAGTCTGCCCTATTGGTGTCACTATTGTCAAGGTCTGGGAGATGGAAGTAAAAAGGGTCGGGACCGAAGGCAATGGGTAGTTGGGGGGTGTCTGGTCTGCTCAGACTGGTTCCACTTCTGGATGGTGTTGGTGTGCTGGAACTGGGTGCTGTGGATCTTGTTGGTGTTACTCCTGGCACTGGTAATCTTATTCCAGTTGGGAGACTCGGTGGAGGAGTTCCTGGAGGAGGGGTGGGAGCGTTCCCGCGAAACATCCTAATCTTTGTGCTTGTTGATAGTTGGGATTGAAGTGAGGAGGAGAGAAATGTTGGTTGTTGTGGTTGTGTGTTGGAGAAAGGAGGGGTGAAGGCGTTGAGGGAGGTTGGGCAGTTGGAGTTGGGTACAAGGCCGGTGGGGGCTGCCAGCTGGGCGAGGAGATTTCAGTGAATGTTTGGGCTTGTCACGTGAGTGCACCGAGGATCATCACCCCAATTGTCACTCTGGATTAGCTGATTTACTCCCAGATGTTGTGTACACCCAAGTAGTAGTAGTATTCTAGTACTTGATGTATCTCGAGTACATTTTGGTGTTTATCATTCTCTAACATTGTTTTTAGATTTTATATTGGGTGTTTATGGTTTGTTAAACAACCGGTATTGCTGGTATTTGAGCTTTTCGCCCTCCTCGTGATATAGGAGGGTTTTCTGGTTTTGATACAGCACTCAAACCGCTATGGGCGTTGTCCTTCTTACCAATCTTGGCTGGGTTTACTATCAAGTTTATCATTGACACCGATTGGATGAATAAGCAGCTAGCTGAACCAGAAGGAATGGCGTGTTGCAGCGTCGATCACCACCGCTAGAAACTTGAATCAAATATAGGTACATGTAGTCTCCATGAGTGTGATTTCAAGGGAGCTGTAGGGGTATCCCGTGGCCCTCCTACCGCAGGGAACGCATTTTGTAAAGGGTAAAATCATGTGTTAGTTTAAGCATTAAGTTGCACTTAAGTCCTATTCCTGGATTCATTTCCCAGTATAAAAAAGACGCATTTACAAGCGATATTTTGTTTCATTTGAGAACACTTTTCCGATTCATTTTACAAGAGCGAAGTAGAAAAGATATCTAATTCATTTCCTGATTCATGTACATAGCTGGTAGATTCCTGCACCTCACTCCCGTTTCCTGATCTCCACACATAGATAAAGTTTATTTACCGGGGAAATTGTGTTCAATTTAAGGGCACTTTTCCGGTGAATGTTTCAGTGGCGAAGGAGGGTCAGCCCCCTACCCGCCTCCTGATCTATTTACATAACTGGTAGAGTTTTGTATAACATTCATCGAGGAAGGTCCTCCCACTCAATGCATCGGATATGGTATTGGGACATAGAATATATTTATTAAGGGATTAAGTTTCACTTGAGTCCAATTTCCTGATTCATTTCCCAGTACAAAAAGGATTCATTTACACGGGAAAACGTGTTTCATCTTAGAGCCCCTTTCTGATGCATTTTACGCCGGAGACGTGGGGAAAATCATCGATTCATTCCCTGATTTATTTAAATAGGTGGTAGAGTCGCCATCCCACTCAAGGCAGTGTTTATGGTATTGGACCAAATATTGTATTTTTGAAAGTATTAAGTTGCACCTAAGTCCCATTTCCAGATTCATTTCGACGTTAAAAATAATTCGTTTTATGGATAGATTTTCTTTCTTCCCAAGCACTATTTCCGATGGATTTTACGATAAGGAAGTATGGTAAATTTTTGATTCATTTACTGATTCAATGACATAGCTAGGAGAGTGGCAGTGAGAAGACTGTCGTAGGTTAGTGGTTCTTCTTTGAGAGCTCCATCGACAAAGCTCGAGTTGAACCTCATGCCGGCGCTTTATCGATTGTGTTTCATTCTTCTATCTCCCTATATAACATCTAACAGCCACCTATACCCCATGATAACGCCCGGAGGATAAGCAGAAAGCCAAAAAAAAAAAAGAAAAAAAGCAAATGAAACCCCCCAGATTCTTTTCTCGATGTCCCATTGCTATAAGCCCTATCAGACACGTCTAGAAGCTCTCTAGACTCACTGAATCCCGATCACCCTCACCCCCTCCTTCACCTCCTTCAGCTCTACCTGTTCCATGTACTCCTGTTTTACCTCTTTCCTCACTTCTTGCTCCCCCTGCTCCTTCATCTCCATCCTCTACACCTCCTTTCTCGCCTGCTTTACCACCCTCCTCCTCCTCTTCCGCCCATACGGAGCCTCCCCAGCACCTGCAGCCAACGCAAGCGCGATTCTCCGAGAAAGGCCATCTTCCGAAGGTACTTCTGCTTGGATACGACTTGCGCAGGCGTGAGTGTGCGTTGAGGGGGTTTTGTAAGGCTATGCATGCACTACGCGCGCTAGAGGCTTGGGGATGTAGAGAGGGTCCAGGTATCCGTGGGTCCTGCGTCGGTGGTTGAGGCTAGGGTGGCCTCGGTGTTAGTGGATATGGTGTTAGTGGAAACGATGTTAGTGGACACGGTAGCCCAGGTGACAGGAAATGTGGCCTCGGCGACAGGAATGGTAGCTTTGGTAGAGGTGGGATGAGTACTGGTAGCGGTGGCCTCAATGGGACTCGAGGGAGGTACATTAGGTCAAGGGTACCGGAGGTTCCACTGGTGGCAGTGGGGGGCTGATCGCCGACACCGAGTATAATCATTGGGCGGTTCATTATGTCCGCCTGTGGGGTTGGAATAGTTCGCGTTTGTAGTTGTAGCCCGTGTTCTTTATTTCTGAGTAACATTTGACTTTTTTGTGACAGCGTTGCAGTGTGGGTTGAAACTCGGCCGGGGCTGTGGTACTTATGGGGTAGGGTACGGGGGAACGCCGGGTCGTGAGAAGAGATTTCCATGGGATGAATTGGACTTGTAAATTCTATGGTGTGAGACCTATGTCCATGGGCATCGGACAGGGCGTTCCGATGGTAGGGAATTTGGAAGCTCTTCATGTTTCTTTGACAATGGCGGATGCGGATGTATTTAGGTGGAATGTCTTTTTTTGATATTTTGTTGCTGACCGCACTATACAAACGTCAAAACTTCTCTGATGTGTGTTAGATATATCTGTTAGGTTGGAAGGGTTACCTGTCCGTTTGTTTCTGTCCGGGGGATGAGGGAGGATCGAGGGATCGTAATTATGTCAAAACTATCCGTTACACCAGAATGAGGGAGGGTGATTTGTGCACAAGAAAACAGAAACCATTTGAGGTTGAGTTGAATTACTACGAGAGGCAATGAGTCACAGTATATTACTGGCCAGTTGATTTTTCACTGGACTGGAGTTCGAAGACGCCATTTCTTTGGCTTCTTTAATATTACGGAGTGGAGAAAATGCAAAGAGCCGATTGGTCAGCTGTATGTGTGATAGAATGCTTTGAAGAACATTCTTTGCCTCTAATAGTACAAACAACTGGAAAAGGTAGGACTAAAGGACACGTATTCGGACAACAAAGTAATATTTCATGGTTTAGAAACATGAAAGTAAATCTAAGAACAAATTGTTTATTTAACTCCTTTTCACACTCCCTAAAGCCATATCTTATACAATAAAAGATAGCGGAGTAAAAAAGACGCCAGAAATTTGTAGACCAACTTACAGAAAAACTTGTAGAAATGGTACTCAAGACGACAACAGTCTTACCCCATATCATCGCTCACCATATTGAAGCACAGCTACTCCACCATACTGCTCTCACACCGCCTTCTGCTTCCCCTCCTCCTCCTTATCCTTCCTATCCTTCTCCTCTCTCCACTTCGCCTCTGCCTCCCTATCCTCTGCAATTGCCTTCTTGTTATATGCCGCCAGCTCCTCCTTCGTCATCTTCCTCGCATCTGGCCACTCCATCTTTGGCACCTGTGGCTGCCGCATTATCGGACTGATGCTCCTAGCACCTCCGAGGCTCACTCCGCCACCACCCACCCCCACATTGCGAGCCAACCTCGTCACTCGCCCTGTAGCCTCCCTCTCCCTCCTCCGACTGTCCATGCGCGTCTCTATAGCCCTAAGTCCCTCATCACGAACAAGCTCCTCCTCAAATGTTCCGGGCCGCAGTCCGGCACCAATCCGCTCCAGCACCACCTCCTGGTCCTGAAGACGCCATCCCGCTGCGGGGTCAATGGTATTATCTTCGCTATCGTTATCGTCGTTATTTCCAGCCTCGGTATACTGTGGTCCTTCGTGATCGTCTTCATCTTCACTGTCATCGTCGTCGTCCTCGTCCATATCGACATCCTCGTCCTCATCATTAGGCATGTCAGAATACTGATTGAGAGGAGCATCGGAGGTCTCGCGGTTGACATTGCGCCGGCGGGGGCGGGCAAGCGTAGTGTCATCGATGTAGTTCCCAATTTCTACTCCGAAGTTTGTAGAGCGGGCTCTGAGGATGCCATTGGCATGGGAGGTTGGAGAGACAGAGGGAGAGATACGGATTGCGCGGGGGCCACGGCGGGAGGTAAAGATCCTCTCAGAAGCGGAAGTGAAGGCCGGGCGAGCGATGGTGAGTTCGGGGGGCGATGGCATGAGGGGAATGGCAGGGATCGGAGGGTCGTGGATGGCAGCGAGGGCACGCGCAGAGACTTCTTGGTCGAAGAGGGCAACGGCGTCGTCGGCCCTGGCGGCGAAACGACGGGCCTCGGCGGGGGTCATGGTGCGTTGGTGTGGCCCGAGGGGGTTTGTGTAAGAGGGAGGAGGACGAGGCATTTTCAATTTGTGGTTCTGAATGTAGAGAGATGTGTGATTAAGTTGTTGATGTTGTGATGAGGAAAGAAGAAGATGTCGGGGGACAGGACCTGAGATGTGAGACCTATGTTTTTAAGCGTCGAACAGCCAAGGTTTTGGAGACGGGCGACAGGGTACCTATATTGTATTGCGGTTAGTCGGAAGGTAGTGCAAAACCTATTGTTCGGGGCCAAGGCCAGCAGACTTAAATTCTGGGGTGAACACTTACGCGTCTCATTGGTAGCTTGGATGTGCTAAGAGGAAGCAATGCAGAGCTACGGGACGTTACCTCAGCCGTCTGTCATGTGACAAAGTGTATTCCTTAGCAAAACTCTTAGCTTGAACTTAAATATGCTCTGACGTAAGTGTTGGTCCCTCCCATCTTCTTTCTATGTTGCCTAGCCAACCCCCTCCCCCATGGTTTAAATTGCTCTGATCAACAAATTTGCATCTGTGTATGTTTATACATTACTGTGAGTCAATCGTCTTCTTTGAAGGGCAGAACCAATAAAAAACATCGGTCATGACGCTTCAAGATCTGTCGTTGCGTAAACTTGCTGGAGCCGGGAACGAGTGATACCTCATGAAGCACAGTTACATCTACTAAGCTGACGGATCACAGTTAAACGACTATTGATTCCTCTATTCTATCAATCCAGTTACATCTAATCTTCAATAAGTATTGTCTTAAGGTGAATTAATTAAGGGTATTTTTATATAAGCTTTATTTAAAAGTATTATCATCAACACATCCCAATGCTTCCTGTTTGGGGAAATGGCCAGTGCTAAGCGATAATTCTGTAGCGTTTAAACTGATGATATTGTAAACCGGATTCCCTTGACTTGATGGTTGATGATACCCTCAAGTCTTCGCAGAATCCTGCCCTATTTATACATGTGGGAACCTATGCCAAGGCCCGCTTTCTAATACTAACTGATACAACGATAAATAGAATAAGGTCAAGCTCCCGAAGATAACCCAGATAGAAAAGCGCCCCCGCATAGTTCCGTCCTCCATTCTAATTCCGACACGTAACCATGAACCTTGCAATTGCCAGTCATCGGGTCGCACCATACTATTGTCCTAGACCTACTTCCCTAAGTAGAACAGCCTGCAGCCGTAAGCCCCGCTTCCCATTCTATTCCGGGTGAGACACCCAATAGTAAACGTGCCGTCACAATAGTATGGTACTAGTGTGGTAACACCGCGTGCCCCCACACCACCCGATACCTTTCTATGCTTGTCCTTCCGTTACCCGACCGTCTTCGCATCACAACCCGTCACTCGTATTCCTCACTGTCCTTCGCCTCTAGGACAGTGCTCCGTAGTTCCTGTAACACTACTCCCCTTCCTAGACGTCGCCCTCGACCGTTAAAACCCTTCTATGATAAAAACCCTGTGGGAAAAGTCATAGAGTAGGGAAAGGTATCGAGCTTAGTCCCGCCTGTTCCGTTGTCGCTTATGAGCCCGTTCGTCATCGATCGCTGGGCCTCGACTTCGCGTATGGGGTCGTATGTTGGAGGTTGGCTGGAAGTTCTCATCCGCCAATGCCTCCTGTTGCTCGGGTGTTGCTAGTCGTTTTCGTGTGTTTTGCTGCCTAGTGGGATCCGGGTCCTCGCGATAGGGCCGTAGCAGCATCTCGTGGAATACGTCATGAACCCTCCATTCTACCGGGAGTTCAAGGCGGTAAGCCCGATTGCCTATCACCGCTGAGATCGTGAATGGTCCTGTAAATTTATCTGACCACTTGGAGTATCCGCCTAGGTTCCGAGTATCCAGCAAGACCTTCTGACCGATAGTGAACCGCTGTACTGCTGGTCCTGGCTTTGACGCCATCCTGTCGAAGGTCTTCTGTAGCGTATCTCTTGCTAACTCATGAGCCGTGATGATCTCGTCCAAGTAGTTGTTCCCGTTGGCATCTAAACGTTCGATCTCCGCATCTGTAGGCCAGTCCGTCCGAGGGTGGAAGCCATAGTTGCAGTAGAACGGTGATTGTCCCGTCGACGTGTGCTTCGCATTATTATAGGCGTATTCGCAGATAGGTAACAGGTCCTTCCACTTCTTGCCTGTTCCTGCCGTATATGCCCGGATATAACCTTCCATGTGCTGGTTGGTCCGTTCTGTCTGGCCATCGGTCTGCGGGTGGAATGATGTGGAGAGTCTTCTACGAATTCCCAATCTTTCCGTGATGGCCGCCCAGAATGCTGACACGAACTGGGTTCCTCTATCAGAAACGATGCTCCTAGGAAGTCCGTGAAAACGCCAGATGTCCTTGACAAATGCGTTAGCGGTCTGTTCCGCGTTGATTCCCGTCATTGGAATGAAGTGAGCCATTTTCGTAAAACGATCCACAACTACCAATACGTTACGGAATCCTGATTTCTCCTTTGGCATTTCTACTACGAAATCCATCGAGATATCAGTCCAAGGTGTGGTGGCTAACTCTAGGGGTTGAGGGAGTGACAAGTGTCTCCGACGTTGCTTGGCTCTCTGGCATACATCGCAGGTCTTGACAAAGTTGGCTACATCCGTGGACATTCCTGGCCACCAGTAGTTCCTATCAATCAACTCAAGGGTTTTATCCCTTCCTAGATGCCCCGCTACGGGTCGATCATGATGTTCTTCGATGACCTGCTTGACCGCGTAGCCTGGTACTACCCATCGACCATCGTGGGTGGGGTCATTCGAATCGGGACTCCATTCAGCGGCAGGCTCTACCTTTACGATAGCAGCCTCCGGTGGTCCGAAGATCTCAAGGTTTGAGTCAGGGAGGTGTTCATCCGGAACCATCCTCCGAACCCATCGTCTTTCCTGTTCATACCAACCCTGTAGTGGCTGAGGCAGCTCTACGCTCGGTATGTCGTACCACTGATCCAACTGATTCCATTCCTCTTCGGGGTTGCCAATCACTTCAGGCCCAGTTTCTACGCTAGTCCGTGATTTTCTGACAAACTGTTCTGCATTGAGTAGCTGTTTTACGGGCTGCTCACGCATTACTCCCCCTTCCATCGCGAACTCCGGACGCCTTGTAAGTGCATCTGGCTTGCCGTTCTTTTCGCCTGGTCGGTAATGGATTTTGAAGCGAAAAGGTGCTATCTTCTCGGCCCATCTGGCTTGTCTTCTCGACAACTTCTTGGTCGTTGTGAAATACTGCAGGTTTTGGTGATCCGAATGTATCTGGATAGGGATGTCCGTCCCTTCCAGCCAGTGTCTCCAAGTCAAGAGAGCAGAGACTATTGCGAGCATCTCCTTGTCATAGATCTCGTAGTTGACCTCTGCCTCGTTGAACTTGCGAGAGTGGTAAGCTACCGGATGTAGGATACCGTCCTCGAACACCTGAGAGAGTACTGCGGCCTCGGCCCAATCACTCGCATCAGTCTCCACGATTGCTTCGCGGTGTTCGTCATAGTGTCGGAGTATTGGAGCAGACGTAAATCTCCTTTTGAGCTCGTCGAACGCGTCTTGCTGTTCCCTGCCCCATTCCCATACAGAACCTTTCTTCAGGAGATCGGTCATGGGTCTGCAAACCTCAGAATATCGGTGGATAAACCGTCTTAGGAAATTGGCGAATCCGAGGAAGCACTGGAGTTCCTTGACCTTGGTTGGGGCTAACCAGCCTTCGATCGCCTGGACTTTCTTTGGTGATACTCGGTTCCCTTTTCCTGATAGTATGAATCCCAGGAACTCTACCTCCTGTTGATACCATTCCGTTTTTTCGAGGTTTCCGTATAGGTGGTGTCGTCGCAGTCGCTCCAAAACTTCCCGTACAAGAGTCATATGCTCTTCTCTAGTCTTTGAATACATTAAGATGTCATCCAGGTAGACTACTACGCCTTGATCTAGAAGATCCTTGAATATGGTATTGACCATGACCTGAAACGACGCAGGCGCATTGGTCAAGCCGAAAGGCATTACCCTATATTCGAAGAGGCCGTATTTTGTTCGGAAAGCGGTTTTCCATTCTTCGCCCTTGGCAATCCTAATCAGATTATAGCCATTTTTCAGGTCTCTTTTCGTGAAGTAGAGTGCTCCTTTCGTTGCGTCGGCTAGCTCATTCATGAGCGGCAGTGGGTAACGGTTCTTGATCGTGATCCCATTCAAGCCACGAAAGTCGACACATAGCCGAAGCTTGCCATTAGCTTTCGGAACGAACAGGACGGGTGCCGCTGCTGGGCTAGTGGAGGGGACTACTTTGCCGGAGGGCAGATTTTCATCCAAATACTCCCGGAGTGCCTTATCTTCAGGTGGGGAGAGCGAATAAATCGGCCCCCATGGAGGCTGCTTTCCTTCCATAAGAGGAATGGTATGATCCCATTCAGAGTGGTCAGGTAGTCGAGCGGCTCCTTCCTTGGAGAACACGTCGGCATATTCCTGAAACTCCACCGGTATAGCACTAACGAGAGCCTCGTTTACCGATGCTCTTGCCCAAAAGGGGTGTTGCTCGATCGTCATCTGCTTCTTGGGTGACGCCCTCAACAGCCTGATGACCAGCTCTTCTGGGTCTTGATCGTATATGTCCTCGACTGATACGAAGCACCCATTGATTATACAGTTGTTGCTATGGAAGCTAACACTGTTGCGTCCCCAATGGATGGTTGGTTGATGCTCCTTGAGCCATCGATGTGGTATGACGAGGTCCTCTCCTGCAAACGAGCCAACCTCACAGGTGATAGCCCTGTCTAGATGGTTGCCGATGCGGAGGGTGAGAGGTTGAGTGATGTGGGTGCCGGAGTTGGGCATAGGGGTACCATCGGCCTGTCTGATGATGAGAGGCTTTGGTCGAGGTTGAGTAGGTATTTTTTCACGGTGGATACAGTCCCAGGACATGATCCAGTCCTCCGTGCCACTGTCTAGGAGTGCGTTGACTGTTGCGACATGTTTGGTACTAGTGGCGGGATGGTCCCAAGAGATTTCGATCTCAAGACGA